GAACAATATGGATGGGTTTGCAAATTCCTTGAATACAATTGGCGGTCGAGGGCAAATGAGGAACAACATTGATGGATTTGCAACATCCATAAATACTATTGACAGAAATCAGGCCGGAAGTATGAGAGATTCAATGTCGAAGAACTTTCAGCAAAAAGGAAATGATTTGATGAGTGTGATGGGTGCTGAAGATTCTTCACTGATTAGCGGTCAAGGCCAAATGACTAACAGTCTTGACGGGTTTTCTAATTCCTTCAATACTGCTGACGGAGGTATGACGGGAAATATAGGAGGATCAGCTGCACAAGATTTCCAACATTTGGGACAAAATATGATTGGCATGATGGATTCTACAGGGTCTTTTGTGATTGGAGGCCAGGGGCAAACGGTGAACAATATGGATGGGTTTGCAAATTCCTTGAATAATATTGATGGAAGCATGTCAATGATCCGAGACTTTAGCCGGCCGGCTGCACAGGACTCGAACCCATCAAGTCAACATATTATTGGTATGATGGACCCAAGTGGATCATCTATTTCTGGTGGTCGAGGTAACAGGCCTGGCGGATTTGCGACATCCTTTGATACTCTTGACGGACGAATGGATGTACGTCGATCACGCATGAACAACTTGAATCAGGCCGATCTGGATATGTTGGGTTTGGCCATAGAACAAGTTCCACTGGTCAGTGCACCAGCCGAAATGGGCGTATCATCCAGTGTAGGCAGCAATAACGATATGTCGAATCCAATGTTTGATGGTACTTCTCAAACTCCCATGGATATTGACCGATCGACCTCTAGAAATGGACGAAGGCTTTCATCAACGAATAGCAATGTCTTTTCGCCATCAGGATCACCAGAAATGGATCGGAACGAGCAATCGTTCATGGATAATCGTGGCTTCACAGATCCAGCTGGATCTATGATGGTGGACTTAGGATATCTTGGTTTGCAAGACTCAGTAGGGTTATCTGGTCCGAATAGGAACATGATGGACTTTACCAGAGACTCTCCATCTAACATGCCCATGTCAAGATGGGCCGATTCACCTTCAAGTATCAATCGCAACACAAATAATGCTGAAAGATCTCCTTCCCAATTTGATACGAATCGGTCTGGGCAATCAATGATGGATATGAATGTCGAATCTTTCATGAATGCCCGTGGATACACAGACATGAACGGACCCGTCATGATGGATGCTGGAACAATGACACGGCTAAACGGACAGAACGGTAGCAACAACGAATATCGCTCTACACCATTAGATAGCAATGCAAACAGAAACGGAAATTCTGTTCGAATCCGAAATGATCGTATCGTTGCTGATGGGACTGGACCATCACCTTCCCAAATGGACCCTAACCAACCTGAGTTATCTGTAATGAATGGTCTGTCTTTCAGCAATTCTCGCTTCACCAATGCTGGATCTTTCATGGTAGATGGAGGCAATCGTGGAGCACCAGATTTTATTGGCTCCAGTGTTTAGATAATCTTTGATGCCACGAGTTCTACCTTGGAGGATATGACAAGGTCACTGCCAGAAGGAAAAGGGGAACGCAGTCATCTTAAGCAACACACTGATTACCTATCAGATTTCATCTAAAACAACAGTTAATTTAAGTTATATTCCGATCAGTAATCTTCTGACATACTTGTCGGTTATTTATGCCATCACAATCTACTCTCTTCGCATGATTATACAGAAGTGTTGTGTTAATTATGAACACTATCCCTGTATATAAACTAATGTTTGTATATATGTAATGTCTGCTTTCTATCCAATTGTCCATATGGTGTTGAGTCTGTACATATAGTATTTATTCTACGAATAAAATGATATTGTTCAAATATATTTGTGTGTAATTCATTTAAAAGTTTCACATGTAACGGAAGCCTGAACACCCGAAATATCCCCAGGCATACAAAATGTCGTAGTAATGGATGATAGGCACATGCTACCGGCAATCAAGGATAAGTTGGACCCGCGCAGAGAACGCGTTTACGAGAATTAGGTTGTGCACGGCAATGAGCAAACCCAGTTGGTTTGTGAAAGGTAGAACAGATGTAGGCTAGTGCACGTGCATTACATGACGATGAAATTGATTCCGCGCGTAGCTGCACACGCCTTGCTCATAAGACTCTCACGTCGGTGTAGCAAGTCGCACTACACTTGATCGCGGACAACCTAGGGGCCACTTCGCTAACAAGGGCAAGCGCCAGTGGGCGGCACTCATACATGCTAATACGGGTCAATTGTCAGGTCGGTGCTCAATTTATCCTTGTTTGCCAGTAGTAATTTTGTGTATATATGGACCTTAAAAATCAAGATGGTCCAGGAAGATTCACAATGTTTCCTATAGATTCCCGTCCGCGATCAATACATGCAGATTGCACATGTAATCAGTGATCAGTACGTTAGTAAATCGCCATCCTTCTGGAAACGTAAGTATATAGGCGTTCGCTGAGTTGGTTAGCGTATAGACTGGAGTCTATTGTATCTTCTTCATGTAATCGCCAGTCCTGATCCGCCGAAACCGATTCATTTAATCCAGCAACCCATCCTTATCGTGTGAGACGTTGTCAGGTGTTCAGGCTTGGTGATTTGGTTGATACACGCAGTCGTATTGCCTAGATCGATACTAACGATGTCAGTCATTGGATTGTCTGGTTCAGACTCGATATTTTCAGACCACCGTCATGTAGCTGAAATGCTGCTGACAATATTGTTTGCCAACAAACATGGCTGACTCCAATCGAAAAAATGCAAAACAGCATGCCACTGGCTACAACCAACAAATATTATGCCAATCCTTGGGGCCATACATGGTATGCATTATGCGTGTAACATCAACGCCATCACTCTGGTCAGATTTCAACAGTTTCGTCCTACTCAGAAGAATCAGAAAGCTTTGATCCTACATGAAAATGTACATAGTTGGGTAAACCCTACTATTACGCAGTACTCATCTGGGAATCATTGTGGGATTAGTCGAGTTAATACACCTCAGTGACCTGCATCCCCTCAGACATCCCCCCCCCCACACACACACACACAGACACTTGAAAAAGACACGTCATGATATGACTGAAACACGTTTCAAACTTAATCACTCTGGTTTGACTGTGATATTCCTTCATTTAAGAAATATACGTGGAAGGGGTGCGGTGGGGTAGTTTTACTGATTCAGTGAGGGAGGCTGAACTAGAAGCGGCGTATTATTGAACGGTAAAGACCTATTACATTATTTACAGTCCATTTGAGGATGTTAATGAAATGTAATTTATTTATAGCTTTAAACATAATTATCTGTTTATACATAATGGTGACTCCCCGAATACAACCTGATCTCGATAATGTGGGATATATATACATTTAATAAACGAGGCCAAAATATCGGATCGTCCAAATTTCCGTTGTAAGCATATGTTCGAATCTTCATGAACAATACTGTATCTTGAAATAAACCAACCATAATTTTCCATTGTTCTTTGGGGTTTATATAAATACTGGTTTACGTGGTCGAAATCATTACAGGTGACGTTTCGTTTTAAATTTCTCTTGCACAACAAATTAAGTATGATATTGGATGATAAAAAAGAATCTCACCCTCCTGACTTTTGATATCAAATATATCACCACTCATGGATAAAACTCGTGATGATATATTATATTTGACTTCAAAAGACACTTGTATGGGACTTTCTATACAGGCCGACAATAATGAATATGTTTTATTGCATGTACTGTTTAATCCAAACATATATTTTCTCAATAATGAGTAATCCTTTTGTAACAGTAATGGTGTACATATTAACCTTTTGCTTGGATCAACATATCTCATACAGTGGATGGACATCATAAAGCCAAATTAGGTATCATAATGGAGGCACATCATGCATTCTAACCCTTGATGTGAGAATCCAGGACATATCTAAGGGAGGGAACTCTGCACACTGACTTGTGCAACATTAAACCGTAAGACCTGCTGTAAGTGATAATAGCTACCTCATATAAGAACAACACCAACTGCTGGCATATGCAGCTTAATGAATAAAGGGTCATGGGTATAATTTGCAAATACAACCAATTGTATTACTTTATTGTACATAACATCACTACGTCTCAAATTCAGGAACTGGTGTACGAATACAAAAACGCAATTAAAGGTTCATGTTTTCCTTTCTAGTTCAGGAACAATTACCCATCTTGAAGCATTACCATGCAACAACAAGGTCTTCAAGCTCACATGCTATCAGAAAATAAAATCTCACATCTTTTTTGAGACAGGAAGGGTTAATAGGACCACATCGAGTGACCACAAACAAAATAGAATCTCAGCCAACCAATTCTTGGCTGAAGTCAGTTCCATCCACGGTCGTTTCTACTCCACCGGGAGACTGAACGGTTGCATCAGAGCCATCAACACGAACCACCACTCCACCATCAGGCAGCACAGCACTTGGGGGAAGTATGGTTCCTACTTGAATGATAGGTGGTCCAACTCCGATTGGTGCTGGGCGACGGGGCATTTGAATTTGTCCATTTGCGATACCGACCACAGCAGGCCCTTTTCCAGTTGGATTTTGACGAGATTTTGGTAAACTCGGCTGCATTTTTGCGACGGAACTCGAACATTGTTTTGTATTTGTTTCCTGTCTACCGGAGCCATTACGGATCCCGAGGTAAGCCCTTGCGGCAGACCAGTGTTCGTCGGAGGTTTTGTAGGGACCATTTGTGTTTGAGGTGGAGAAGTTGGAATACTTTCCGGAAACATATTCATTCCCATTCCACTGTTAACGTTCTGCAGCTCTGAAATCGTAATAATGGTCAAAATTATGTTCGGTTCAAAGTGATAACATCGAAACTTAGAAACTCGAAGTCTATGAACATCTAAAGGTGAGCTTTCAAGCCAAGATTTGCCAACCGATAGACCCACGTGACCAAAATATTAACCCGCACCGGGAAGGTACATTAATGCCTTACTCTCAAAACTCTACTCTACATGTCCCATACCTGTACCAAGAAAATCGCCAGGCTGCCCCATAGACATGCCAAATCCCTGTGAATTCTCAGGTTGTCCAGCTAGTGTGTCCGCTCCACCAGGAAAAACACTTGTAAGACTACCCGGTGTCAAGTCCAGTCCAAGAAGACCTCCACTCTGTCCCGATGTCCCGAATATATCGCCAACCGGGTCTTGTCCAAATCCACCTGAAAGTTGTTCAAGGGCTAGCCCAGCATTCCCAGCTCCTGTCATGTCGCCAAGTAAACCCCCGGACCCCATGAAACTCCCATGAAGCCCGGTTGAATCAATACCAGGCAAACCAAGCGGATTACTTCCTGTGAAACCCAAAGACCCTCCGGAAGTATCAGCAAATGCGCCAGATCCAGATATACCTTCGGGAAAACCTGTTGGTGAGATGGTCTCGGAGTAACCACCAACGCCATTGAACTGGTTGCTACCATAATTAGGATCAAGTAGAGGGTGCACCAAACCAGAGCCAAGTCGTGGATCAGATCGAATTAACGGACCTCCGTTGAAGGATCCTGCCTGTGTGCTTGTTGGGGCTTTTCTTTGTGGCAACAAGCTGCCGCTGGGTGCGGGTGGTTTCAGAAGAAGCAGTTTAAAGGCAACGCTTTGGGGCAGGAGCGAGCGAATACCTTCAAAATAAATACACCATATTTACTTAGCTTTGGAAATCGTTACTTCATTTTCATGAACTGTCCCCTGTAAATCCTTACACGAACGGACCAGTTTCTTTCAATACGCAACTAAATGGTATTTTGTTGTCCTGAGTTTGTGCGTGGGTCCCTTCTCGTACTTATATTAGTTATCATACCAGCGATATCCAAGATCAGTATTGTATTCAAGAAACTGCACCTTTTTGCAATCAGAATTGCAGAAATCATTTAACATTTAGCGTCATTAATTTTAAGTTCATTAAATGTCATTGGAAAGGTCAAAATATGCAGCCTTACGCACTGGACGCTGAAAATGTTATTCTACCACATCATCACGTTTAATAACAACCGCTCATTGAATATAAGTGTGTTTTTATATTTCCACAGTGGGATGGTGATATAAAAGATGAATTCATTTGAAATATTTAATAGCAATACATTTAACGTATTAGAAATCGCCTGAAAATGATATAAATGTCTCATAACTTTGTAATTAAGAAATCTCCCTTGATATGAGGAACTCTGAGCATTCTTCTACAAACATATCATTTGCCAGTCAAGCCATTTGTTGGTAGTGAAGCGTGACCTTTTTCAGTTGCCATGAGAATATTTCATTTGTCACATATAACTTTGATCAAACAACTAATGTTGTGATGACCAGCCGGCCACTTCCTTGGGGAAAACAGCTTACGGAATGAGCGTTCGATGGCTCATCAAAGCAACAAAACAATTTAAAAAATACGTACGTGCTTCACTAACATGCTGCGCATGCGCCCCACAACAGAACGCCAGAGTACACAAGATGAAACGCCAGTACGTCATTGTCGTAAGTTCTGCAAAGAGGAGCAGGAAGTGAAGTGATGCACTAAAAAAAGATTTGACGAAAAATGTACAGACCTTATCAAAACGTTATTAGCCTGAAAGGTCGCCGAAATATTCTAAACCTGAGACTGTCGAATCAAATAACCATTAAATTTTTTGTTGTTTATATTCTTTTGACCGACAGGTTTATTATTTATTTTGATTCATCCAAACTCTCTCTACCTTATGCGAGGTTACAGTAGTAAATAGTAGCAGCAGCAGCAGCAGTAACAGCAGCAGCAGCAGCAGCAGCAGTAGTAGTAGTAGTAGTAGTAGTAGTAGTAGTAGTAGTAGTAGTAGTAGTAGTAGTAGTAGTAGTAGTAAATTGTTGTTGCTGTTGTTGTTGTGACAACATGTTCAATAGGTTTCGTCTTTTCTCTCAGTTTCCCAAGCCATGGTACAGATACCAAGAGGTCACTTATATACGCACTAATGTTCAAAATGTAAAGATATACATCATCCGGTATAACATTCAAACATTTCTCGTATATTGCCCGGTCCAGTGTGCAAACGAGCCCTCTGAAGTGTTTATTCACACTGAAGGCAATCATGTCCATCAATCAAATGCATTACTGTTATTTCCTCTCATAACAACCCTGCAATGAGCATATTTATCATCCAGTACTGGTTTCCAGAGGAGATATGCTTGTAGAAGTTCAAGCAATATCTCCTGGTAAGTTTTAAGGTAATTGCTGCATGATTGGTTAATAATATTTCCGGACAACTTTCATCTCCCTTAGCTGAATACAAAGATTGCCACTGCAGTTGAGTTATTTTTTTTCATGACTTGTTCTAATGACATAAAAGTTTGCTTAAAATGCCACCAAGGAACTACTTTTTATATGCTTGTTTTTATGACGTAATGTTGTCAATCGTTTCTATCTTCCATCGCCCTTGTTCACTTGGATGTATTCATACGCAAGTCTTCAAATGAACTTGTTACAGGTGACGTTTCGTTTTTAATTTCTCTTGAACAACAAATTAAGTATGATATTGGATGATAAAAAGAATCTCACCCTCGTGACTTTTGATATCAAATACAGTACAACCAGAAATTATTGAGAATTTAAGATTGTAATTTTGTTTTCACTCATTACTCACGTATTAAATGTGAATATTAGCAGAACATAACTCCAGATTCAAAGACAGGTGAACAGTTAGTATTTTGTCAAGTCACCATGGGCAGCAATGCAGGCGTCAATGCAGCGGGGCATACTACTGATCAAAGAAGTTAGAAAGTCGTGGTCCATGCTGTCTTCTTTCCCAATATCGATTTTTCTTATTGACACTTTCCTTCAAACATTTTCCATTGGATTTAGGTCAGGCAATAGCTTTGCCAATCAGATGTCATAGTTTGGGTTTGACTTAGTTTGGACACGCCGCTTTCCAGCAACATCACGGCGGGAGACACCAGAAACTTCACACATTGTACCCATTGGATTTAAGGTCTTCGGCGTAGAGCCAACGGCCAATAGGCTACCCCAATGTCATATTTTGGGTCCGAAACCAGGCCTGTGAATGCTTTGAACGATGTTTTGGGTCGTTGTCCTGCTGGTAAATCCAAAACTTTCCATAGAACACGTGAGCAGATGGAAGTAAATGTCCCTCGAGAATATCTGTGTACCGCTCACTGTTCATATTCCCTTCAAATACACAGAGGGGCATTGCCCCTAACACAGATATGCCACCCCACACGTTAAATTTCGGACTGTACTTTGGGCGCTGATACAAAGGTTTTTCAGTTTGTTTGGTCCAGAATTTCAGTGTATTAGGAAACAGCAACACAGAACTTTCATCTGAGAAAATCACATTGTCCCAGTTACAATTTCTATGCTGTAAGCACCAGTTCAACCTTCGCTCCTTTTGTTCAGGTTTCATGATCGGTGATGGAATTCCTCGACTTTTCTGCCAACCCATTGTATGCAGCTCAGTTCTAATTGTCTCCTTACAGACAGCCACAGTTCCTCTATCAATCATATCCAGCCTTAAGTTTTCTAAACTCCTTCGTTTGTTTTTAGAAACAAGAATACCAAGCCGCCTCCTGTCACCGACAGTCAATTTTCTGGGCCTACCTGCGCCTCCCTGGTGCCCAATGCCATATCCATTTGCAATATTTTTCAAAACACGATAAACAGTGGACAAAGGGATGCCTGTTCTACTTGAAATCACTTTAGCTGATCTGATGTCCTTGTTATAATATTCTAAAATCAACTTCTTCTTCTCTAAATCATCCATACTGAGGATCACTGAAAATGTCGTCTGCTAGCAAGTAAACAAAGAGGGATAACTCTTCACAAACTAATGAAAAAAGATTAACGGAGTTGTCTCTTTTGAATGAAACCAAGAACTTGATAGCTGGTCAAGGTTGTTTATACTAGAAATCCAATTAAACATATTCCTAAAATTCTCAATAATTTCTATATTATATTTGACTTCAAAAGACACCCGTATGGGATTTTCTATTCAGGCCGACATAATAAATATGTTTTATTGCATGTACTATTTAATCCAAACATATATTTTCTCAATAATGAGTAATCCGTTTGTCTAAGATAGAATTAAAGCCATGCAAAATACACTTACCCTGCATGCCCTACACCTTCTTCCTTCCACTCCAGTCTGTCTGTTTGAATGACAGTAGTGACACATTAGTGTGGTTCTTTCTTTATAATGACAGTAATCTTGATGTATCAACGGTCTATTCTGAGCAATGTGTTTGGTTTATGTTGATAGATTAACCAGACGAAGAGCACACAGCAGCTTTTTACCTGACTTTACAGCACTTGTTTTAACATTAACCTGTGTATATAAAATGGATGCTTTAAGCAATCATTATCGATCAAATAACCATATTTTTTAGAAATATATATGTACGTAAGAAAGCGACAGCAGAATAATGCCTGACCATAACGCTTATCATGATAATTTATTAATTATTGTTTCATTTTACTGAAAGTAATTTTTGTAGAGTTAGATATATTCATTCACCTGTCTGAATGACTTCAAAATTGGCAATTACCTTAAATACTTGTTGGTTTTTTTATTCTGTTGAAAGTATTTTTGAAGAGTTTGATATATTCATTCACCTGTCTGAATGACTTCAAAATTAGCAATTACCTTAAATACTTGTTTACATTTAACAGTCATCATTGTTCCTATAAATCATTTACATTTCAAACAGCATCTAATGTATGATGTATTCATTCACCTGGTGAATAACTCGGTCAAGGACTGTGTGTCATTGGTTATATATACCGTCAGTTTTCCTCAGTTATAAAGTGAAATAAAAACTGCATGCGGTTTGAATAGAAGCAATTTACTTGACACGTTAAACTTCTTTACATTTAAAAATCGGCATTGTGCACATTGTTGACTTGAAAAGGGGCAATTTCTCTGAAAAATAAAACTTATTTACATTTAAAAATCGACATTGCTACATCATTTACATATCACACAGCATCTAGCGTTTGTGATTTGTTACCTCTGGCATGTCCCGAGAGCTGCTCCCATTCATTATTCATAATACAGATCAGGCCTAAAGCACATCATCTGAGATGTATTCCAAATTCACTACATTGTTACATTTCTAAAATTCATTACATGGAATATGTACATTTAAATTTCTAATAGTATTGTTACAATCACATGTCATCAGTGTATACTATTTGTTACCATTAGGTTTGTGGTAGAAATATTTCTTTATGTATGTTTTCTAATATTATATATTAGACATACAAGTAGGAAGTGATATTCGTCTCCAGCGAAGCCATTATTACACTATCTACAGAGTTTTCCCTTACATATATCTGCCCTTTCAATGAATAGCTCATACTTCCTATAACATATGAACACATACATTCATGGCTATTAACCTTACTAAGATTCAGATTATAAATCATCCTGAACATGCTTTTTGGTTACCTAGGTTTACTTTTAGTGCTTCTTGAATGCATGTCCATTACTGTTTTGGCGTCACTCCGTCTGATCTGTTGTCGTAACATAGGATGTCAATACAAGGATGGCACTGATGATTAATCTTAAACCACCAATATAAAACTACTTTCTCTTTCAGCGACATACTTTTATATACACTTATCTGACGTTAACTGTCCTTAAGCAGCTTCCAATTTGTAAATTATTAATCCACCTCGAGGGCAGCTTAAGTCCCTAACCACACTCTTACATCAAACAAGTTTCTCCCCCAAGGGCATATTGGTGTACTTGTCGTGTTGATTGACTTTAGTTCTTGGGTACCTTTTTCAAGGAAATATTCGTGTTAAAGTGTACTTGTAATCATGTATTTTGGATTTATCCGGTCGGGCAGCGATGATACAAATAGAAACGGTGAATACTCAACAAATATAATTGTAGCACCATATAAAACTTGGAATTTAATAGAATATTTTCCTGTAAGTGTTTAGCATAGTTAAGTATTGTGTCATCTTCAATGAATGGACATTCCGATATTATATTAATACAAAATATTGTCTCTCTATAGACCAAGTTGAAAATTTGTCTTATTGTGAGGAGTGGTCTTACAGTGACAGCGAGGTTATGTGGTAAATACAACCCCGTTATCATGCAAGCAATTAACACAGTACATGCATTTGATAACTAAGTTGTAAATTTAAAGTTCCTAGCTGAATGCCTCTTCACATTGCTGTGCTTAAAATGCACACACACACACACACACACACACACACACACACACACACACACACACACACACACACACACACACACACACACACACACACACACACACACACACACACACACACAAATGTGTTGTTCTTTTCCTGTACAGAGTGCCCTACCGAGAGCAAGTTCAGTTGTATGTTTAATACACTGGATAATTTCATGTTTATTCTGTGCTGCAATCACCAGACAATCTGAAATTAAGTTGCTTGGAACTATTTTTTTTCTCACTCAGCTTGTGTGCGTTCCATGCCGACAGGTTG